CTTTATATTTTTAACTCCTTTACTTTAAATAAAATATTAATTATGAAAATTTTCAATTTATTTATCTATTTTTGAATATGCTATATTGGTCTCGGGCTGAGAGATCGGAGATGAGGTTGTAAGCGTTTGGTTCGTTGGAATGTTTCTGAGGGGGTGTTTGGTTCAATGTTTGGTTGGCCGGGAATCTCATTCCCGGTAATGTTTTATTACCAATAGTAGATTTTTTGGAGTATATTACCGAGAATGTCATTACCTCCCTTCCCTTAGGTATTGTAACATTACCGGCGTTTTGGACTAAAATGCCCTTAAATTTTTATTTTTTTTTAAAAAATATCATTCTTCTGTCATTGAATAATAAAAATTCTACAAAGGTTAAATTACAAATTTATCCTTAAATTAGTTTAGATTTACAAAAAAAATCTATAATTAAAATTTTATAAGAAGTTCAGGGATTAATTTTTTTTTACCCTTTCATTAAACCTTTTTTATATTTTAAATTTTGTAAAAAAAATTATATAAATATTATGAATTTAATTTTTTAAAGAAAATATATAAATATTTTACAATTTGTAATATTATACAAATATATAATAAGGACAATTTGGTCAAATATACATTCCAATAATCTTTTATTCCTTTAACAAAACACGGTAATCTTACATTCCTGCTAAACCAACCAAACACAAAATACAACATTCCCAGTAATCCTATTCCCTGATAATCTTTTATTCCCACTGGTAATCTTACATTCCGTGAACCAAACGCACCCGGAGGGAATTGGAATCTGTGAAGGAATTGGAATGTCTCAGGAATTGGAATCCAATTCCATATTCTGTTTGGTTCGTAGACATGTCAGATGAATTTAATTTCAGTAATGTAAAATGACAGAATTGTCATTCTTGTTTTTTTGCTTTATTTTAGTTTGTTTTACAACTTACAAGTAGTAATATATTATAAAAAATTAAAAATTATTAAAATTTTATTTTATTTTATTGATTATTCATTTCAATAAATTATAAAAGTCATGCTAATAAACATCATAAGTTAAAATCATCTTAATCAAAATATGTTAATAAGTTACCAAAAGATAGAGCAATATTTCGATACATTCCAATCGGAGTATGTTAATTAGTTACCAAAAAATATACCAAAAACTATTTTTATTCAATATATGAATTAGAAACCCGACTCGACACGACACAAAATAATAAAAAAAATTATTTTTATTCAATAAAAACATTGACTTAATTGAAAAAAATTATATATAGAGGGGTATTATTGTAATTATTCCTAAATATATAAGGTAAAATTATATATTTTTTCGGGTCAGGTCCGGGTTTTTTCACCCTAAACCCAAACCCGACCCGAATATTACACTTAAAAAAACCCGACCCGACTCGAATATCACACTTAAAAAACACGACCCGAGTAAAATAAAGTTTCACCCGACCCGAATATATGAATTAGAAATTCGACCCGACCCGACCAGAAATAATAAAAAAATTATTTTTATTCAATAAAAACAGTGACTTAATTGAAAAAAAATTATATAGAGAGGGGTATTATTGTAATTATTGCTAAATATATAAGGTAAAATTATATATATTTTCGGGTCGGGTATTTTTCACCTTAAACCCGAACTCGACCCGACCCGAATATCACACTTAAAAAAACTGACCCGACCCGACCAAAATAAAGTTTCACCCGACCCGACCCGAATATATGAATTAGAAACCCGACCTGAAATAATAAAAAAATATTTTTATTCAATATATGAATAAGTTACCAAAAAATTGATGAGGGTACTATGATCAAATTTCAATTCCCTCCAACAAGAGAATTAAATTCCATCCATTTTTGGATGGAATTCACTTTTCCTCATTTGATGGAAAGTTGAAGCCGTGAGGGATTCTAATTCCCTTGGAAAACTTGAACTAAACATGAGAAAGTGGTGAATTGAATACCAATTTTCACAAATTCCAAGGGATTCATGTCAACCAAACACCATCAAAGGGAATTCTAGAATGGATCCAACAAATGGATCCAAAATAAGGAAAGAAGCCCACCTTTGGATGTATTTCTTAGGATTCTCATAATCATAAGCCACGACATGGAACGCATCTTCACCATGTACATGAAAAACAGATTGATTATAGAATAAATTGAAAAAGTTATTCTTCAACTGTTTTGGTTTTATAAAATAATTCATATTTGCATGAAACAATTTATTTATATGATTAAATGAATCGTTGTTTTTATAGGTCACGAATTTAAGTATCAGTAATTGTAATAGTATGATTGAGCGTTAAATGTCAAATGATTTAAAATATTTAAAACATATATTACTTTATAATCACATTAGTTTAATAAAGATAATATAATTCATAATTAATATTTTATACAAAATATATAAACAAAAATACTCACCTCAACTCATTAATTACGATCTGTAATTTTATGTGGTGCATCCAGTACATAGTCGTAATTAATATTAAATTAAGTCTTTGATTATTTACGTTATTATCTTATTAAACTTTGAGCAGTAAGATGTTGAGTATCATTAATTTGAGGACTTGATATGTTAAAAAATTATTTAAATTCTATTTTAGTTTATATATTTTTTATAAAATATTAATTATGAATTATATTATCTTTATTAAACTAATGTGATTATAAAGTAGTATATGTTTTAAATATTTTAAAACATTTGACATTTAATGCTCAATCATCCTACTGCAGTTACTAATACTTAAATTCGTGACCTATAAAAACAACGATTCATTTAATCATATAAATAAATTTTTTTCATGCAAATATGAATTATTTTATAAAACTTTAGTATCAGTAACTGCAGTAGGATGATTGAGCGTTAAATGTCAAATGATTTAAAATATTTAAAACATATATTACTCTATAATCATATTAGCTTAATAAATATAATATAATTCATAATTAATATTTTATACAAAATATATAAACTAAAATAGAATTTAAATAAATTTTTAACATATCAAGTCCTCAAATTAATGATACTCAACATCTTACTGCTCAAAGTTTAATAAAATAATAACGTAAATAATCAAAGAATTAATTTAAAATTAATTACGACTATGTACTGGATGCACCACATAAAATTACAGAACGTAATTAATGAGTTGAGGTGAGAGAAGTTTTGCTGTACGGCGGTTAAAAACGGTTAAAAATGATTAAAAATAGTGTGATTGGTTAAATAAGTAACCGGTTAAAATGTAGACTGGTTATGTTATATCATTTAACTGAAATATTATCAAATACAATAACATATTTGGTAGCGCTTATATAATGTAATAAATAGAGCTTATATAACAAAATTGGTTATTTACTTAATTTGTTATTACAACATATTAGGTAAACGCGTAAAATGTTACCAATAATAACATAACTGGTTAATTACTGAAAACATTATCAAGCATAATAACATATTAAGTAGTTATATAACAAAATATGTAATTACTTAATTTGTTATCAATTATGATAAACTTACCTTAGGAATAAATGCTAACAAAATTTAAACTACCTATTACATTAAAATACCTACTCGTTTTTTTGAAGGTTGTTAATAATGTAAACAGTAAAAAAAAATAGGCATTACCTATTACATTAAAATACCTACAGGTTTTTTTAAGGTTATTAATAATGTAAACGGTAAAACAAATAGGGACTACCTATTACATTAAACTACCTACCGGATATGTTGAAAGTATCGATTCCATTTAAATAAGTATCGATATTTTTGGAATTTAAAAGAAAAACAGTAATACCGCCTATAAAGTGTCGATACTTTATAAAAATATATCGATACTTTACAATATAACAGGTAAAAATATGAAAAAAAATCAGTTTCACTATGACAAAACTGGTAAAGAGCTACATGATATGTTGAAAGTATCGATACTTTATAGAATTATATCGATATTTTACAATATAACAGGTAAAAATATGACAAAACCAGTTTCATTATGACAAAATCAGTAAAGAGCTACCTGATATGTTGAAAGTATTAATCCTTTTTATAAAAATGTATCGATACTTTACAATATAACAAGTAAAAATATGACAAAATCAGTTTCATTATGACAAAACCAGTAAAGAGCTGCTTAATATGTTGAAAGTATTGATCATTTTTATTAAAATGTATCGATATTTTACAATATAACATATAAAAATATGACAAAATCAGTTTCATTATGACAAAACCGATAAAAAATTACCTGATATGTTGAAAGTATATATATTTTTTGTACATGTATCGATACTTTATTAAAAGTTGTGTAATTTATGTTTTAAAAATTTTAATAGTGCTTTATGTTTTCCACCTACATTATTAGTTTAATAATTTTATTTACACAAAAAATTAATTAATTGTTTAGATATTTTATAAAATATTATTTAAAATTTAAATTTAACAATTTTAACCAAAGATAATAACAAATATTTAATATCTATGTTTATTATTTTTAATTTAATAATAATATATACTGTAACATAAAAATAAATTATTAGATGCTTATAATTACTAAATTAATATCTTAAAACTCATTTAAAATATAACCTTAAATTAATGTTTTTCATAGTGAAATAAGTATTGACACTTATATATATGTATAGATACTTATTGATAACTAAAATTTATCAGTTATCAAATTTTAAAAAAAAAAAATTTATACCTAAAATATTATTAGTCTGTCAACATAATAAATAACGTTAAATTAAATTATTAAATATATTTTAATATATTCAATAATATCATATATTAACCTTATATTAATTTTTCTTTCCTGAGACAAGCCGTTGAGGTGAAGGATAATAAATTTTAAAGCTGAACATAATAAATTTATCAGAGAACCCCACCAATCTCTTGTCGCAATTAATATTTCTCTCTTGCAGTATCTACCGTTCAACTTCTGCAACTTTGATTCAATTCAACACTATTACTCCTTCTCAGTCCGAGTCTGACTCACCCATTAATGCCCGCATAAAAGAATTCACATAATATTTACAAAAGATTTTGAGTATTTCAACCCCCAAACTCTTTTAACATTCATCATAACCACATGGGCAAGAAGAAGATGAAGCTCCCTTTTCTCTTCAAGAGCAACAGCATACAAGCAAGTTCCTCATGGCCATGGCCTCCCTGTCAGCAGCCAAGAACCCTCTCTTTCAGAGCTGATGAAACACCATCTGAGCCCGGGGATGATCCGGTTGAGACCGTCATTCAAGGTTTAGTAAGGTCCGAGAGGCTGTTTTTCGAGCCTGGAGAGACCAGTTCAATCCTTCAAGAAGCAAAGCCGATCACGAGTGATGAGATTTTGCCTTTAAAAAAGAGTGTGGTGTTGTCAATGGAGTCTCGAGATCCCTTTGCTGATTTCAGGAACTCCATGGAAGAAATGGTGGAAGCTAACGGATTGAAGGGTTGGGAAAAGCTTGAAGAGCTTTTATGTTGGTATTTGAAAGCTAATGGGAAAGCCATCCATGGCTGCATCGTTGCTGCCTTTGTTGATTTGCTTGTGGAACTAGCCTCGATTAATTCTTCCACTGACAATGATTGTATTCGTTCCCGCTCCCCTTCTTCTCCTTTATCTTTCTGTACTTCAGCGTCCTCGTCTTCCTCTTCGTGTTCATCATCATCATCTAGTTCTTCAGCCACAACACCTTGTGTGTCTTCGTTATCAGATCAGAAGATCACTGAAGATGATAAAGATGATGATGTGTCTTCATCTTTATCACACAGTGTTTGAACTTTGATTCAAGTAGAAATCTTGTTGTGTATATCCACTAGTTTTCTGAAATGGTAATGAACTTTTTGTTTTCTGATCTTTGCTCAGTCTTTTCCTTTTACTTTCTGGGTCGCCAAACACGACTTAGACATTTGCACATGTCAACTTGTTGCACTGTCTTCTGCAATTAATGGAAGATAGAAGTTCGAGAATACTACTGGGAAATTTCCATGCAAAGCTTTTTGTTTACTTTTTTTGAGGGTAAAATTTTGATTTAAAAAGGAAATAGTAATTATTTCATCACACATGAGACAAATTTCACGTATAGAGTAAAATCTGTCCGATTTATTTATTTAATAAATTAATAAAATTAAAATTCCCCACAGTTTGCTTCAACGTTACTCTGCTCCTGATATCCATGTGGTTATGTTTATGATCTTTTTTATGAAAATCTTTAAACTAATGTTTTTTAATAAAATCTTTAAACTAATGTTTTTTAATAAAATCTTTAAACTAATGTTTTTTTAATAAAATCTTTAAACTAATGTTAGATTGTTAGTCATTTATATTATTGACTTTTTTTTAATATTTTATAATAATTGTTAGTGAAAAATATTATCAAGTTGTGACATTATACGTCTAATTTTAGAAGAATTTGCATTGTCTAAAATTTATCATTAATATTACACGAATTATGTGTTTTTAATTATTAAAATAATTATTGTTATTCTTAAACATATTGAGTTTGAACTTCAAAAATTACATAATGTTTATTGTCAAATTATTGAAAGACTTTAAAATAAATATTATCACTTATAACTACCCTAAATTAATTTAAAAAATATATCATTAATGTTAATTCAATTAATATTCAATAGACAGAGATATAATATATAAATATATTTATATATCGATATATAAATATAACTTTTTAAATGTACATTAACTGGGTGATCAAATATAAAGTTAATACATGTGCGCCATCGTTCAGTTTAACACGTGCTCGTAAAAATATATATCTTCAACATACACCATGTGTATTTATTTTTTAGATAAAATTCGTATAATTTTTCTATTTTTCTCTTTATTTAATTTAGGTCAATATGTGCTCCATACTGCTGTCATATAAGCATAACGCGCTTCATGCAAAAAGCGTTCTCAAAGGTATTTCTTGAAAGAAAGAAAAAGCGATTTCAAAGGCACTTCAATAAATGTTATTTTCAGTATTAATATTTTATTGTGTGCAATTTGGGGTTAAAAGAACTTTATTATGTTGTGTGGCGTCAAGTGCAGGATAACCCTGACTTCAATGTGGTGTAAGCAACGTTTGTTGCTTTGCTTTACTTTTAGTTTACTGCTTCTTCCCCTTTGTTTTCATCAAGATTAGGTCCTGAATTATTCCACAATTCTGGACCCGTCACGACAATAACCTCCCGTGTAACATCCCAATTTAGGAGCTAAATTTTAAGAAATTATAAAGTATTTGATTTAATTGGTATTTTGGAAGAAAATTAAGGATTAAATTATAAGATTTCAAAGTGGGTAAACCATTTTAAGAAGTGCAGGAAATTCAGTGGCTAAATTCATGATTTGACCATTTTTCTTTTGGGATGAATTATAACACCTATTCCCGTATTTTTTCTGCATAAAAATATCAGTTTTCCCTTCCCCTCAACTCTCCTTCCAACTCCGATTTACTCACCGTCCGACCTCCGATCGACGAACCGAAACCACCATCGTGTTCGTTGTCGACCGATGAATAAAACCCCTTAAACCTTTCATCGTGAATCGTCGCCGTCTGTCGTTAATTTCAGTCGAAAGTATCGTCGGTAATAACTCGATTTTAGTTGATTTTTCGTCGATTCACGACGATCCGATGATCCGTTTACGACACCTCCCGCACCATCGTGTTTCTTGCATCGTTCCGAGTCCGCCGGTGTCATCCTTGGTCTCTGTCGACGGCGGCGCGTGAGGAGGTGAAGCGGTCAAAGTTTCCGATTCGTTGAAATCAAGCACTCCACCATTCAAAATTGTGAATCGAGCTTTATAAGTGCCTCGAAATCGCTTAAAATAATTTTTAGGAATTTTTCCATGATTTATAGGCTGCCGGAAGATGTTCCACGCGCCGCCACTGTGCATGGGGAAGGTCAAAATGATCGGTTTGACCGGTTTTGAACTAGTTTGACCAGTTCCAACCCGACCCGACCCGTTGACCGTTGACCGTTGACCGGTGTTGACCAAAGTTAACTAGAACTTTGACCAGGCATTAAATGACCTTTGACTTTGACCGAGTATACCTATCCTGACGTTTTTGACGTTCCAAATCCGATTTCGCAGTCCGTTTTTCGAAATTCAGACCCGAAGACCTCGAAATTGAAAGTCAAATCCGTTGACTTTGATTTTAACCGAAAATTCCAAATTTTTGAAAGTCATATTTTATGCTTTCGACTTCTTGAATTCGAATCCTAAGTCTGTTTCGCCAAATTCGAACCCAGTAAGCTGTTTTGCACTGATTTATCATCCAATTCGATCCGTTTTTCAAAATTATGCTCCATTTTTTATGTAATTTTTGTTGATATGCATTTGAGGAATTATTGGAAGATAATTTCAAGATCGAGGGCATTCGAATAGAATTTAACGGTCGATTAGTATTGCATGGAAATCGATGTAATACTTTACTACCTCTTTATGCTTTATGGAACATGTTGGTATCGGTAAATGCATGAATATGATAATGTTGATCACTTTTGTGGAGTTGATTAATTTATACACTCGATATGAATGTAGTAGAAATTCGATAACTAAATTCGATCGAATGATTAATATAGGAGATTGAGGGATTGTTATAATTAAATTACAAGTTGTGTGATTAGTGATAAAGAAATCAACCATGGATTTGTAACTTATATTTTATATTATCAAAGATTAAACGTTAAAGGTACTTAGATGGGAAATTATGAGATTACTCCGGTAGGGTAAAATTACGAAAATACCCTTATATTGTAGGATGACAAGAATTATTCCTGGAAGTTGGTTAATAACTCTGAAAGGGCATATTGATCTGATATAATTACAGATGTGCATAAGAAATGATAGTTTTGTTTAGAAAATTTGGATAGCTGGTTTTTAACACCAAAAAGGGTTTGTGAATGATACTAGAAGTCTGTTAAGAGAATCATTTCAAGATCAGAGAGTGTTCAAGAAAGTAATTAATCATAGGATCTCTATATTATATTATTTTCGTTAAAAGCTAATATCGAAATTATCTAGTTAAGAAATTACAAAAATGCCCTTGAGAGATACAATAGTCTGAGTTGATCCTAAATGATAAAGTACTTTGAGGATTTGTACTTAACTCGATTAAGTACGAATTTAATTGTTAAGGTCCTATCTTTGTACAAAAAAATTCATGATATTCCGTTTGTAAAATTTGAGAAGGCACTTGACCCAAAAATATTCGAGTAATGAGTAAATACCTGAAGAATAATTTATGGGGGTATTCTGCTGTCAGAATTGCTCGAAATGACTGAAATAAATGATAATATTGAATTTAATAGTAAGATCGGAAGGAAAAAATGATTAAAATACACTGAATCTATAAAATGACCAAAATACCCCTGTGATGGAAATGACCTAAGAATATCACGAAGCTCAGGAATGATTGGATATCCTCGAGCTCTGAAGTGAATGGAATAAAACTGAATACCAAAATTTACCAAAGTAACCTTATGGACTAAACTAAGTAAATGTCTTGGATTAATTAAGGAATCAAAGTAAGCATATGTATTGGACTACCTTTAAAAGTAATGGAACACAATTTAAGTGAGTAGATCAACCCTAAAGCTATGTCAATACCTGGATGGCATAGATATTACTTGAATGCGTGTTTGTGTTCTCAAAGTTTGGCTCGATGATAAATTTTGGAAGTATTCAGCTCAGATTAACTCTATATCGCATTTAGTAATAGAAATTGGATGTTTGTTCGACAAATCAACCATGAAGACCAAATTGAATGGAACGGAAGTACAACATGTATCTGAAATTCAGTAACGTTTGAATTACTCTGGAAAATCCTGAAGTAACTGGAATAGACTTGAATGCTAAATGAACTAAGTAACCTCAAACACTAAGGATTAAGTAAGTGATGTGGATGAGTCTAGAAACGTTAATGAACATACATGATGTAATGTTCTTATGGATCTTGAACTACAAATCAAGCACGCCAGCATTTCATGATATAGTGGAAGCGTGAACATAAAATAAAGACATTGGAAGATTTATTCAGCGATGATTCCGAAGATTATATATGGACTAGAATTTGTGGTATTAAAATGTAAATACTCTGTAATGACAATGAATTTACCAGTCAATAAGCATTAATTCTAGGAGATATTCATATGAAGTTGTTTGATAATGAAATCAATCGACATAGACTGTAAATGTCCTGAATCTTCATTTATTCCTTATCAGCCAAGTCACATTCTGAATAACTGATGATTTCGTTAGTTATTGAACTCTTCCTATAGTGATTCTAAATTTCGATATCCTATCGGTATACTGAAGATTCATGTTTCTCTACCTGTTAAGATTATCCAGTACCTCTGAATAATTTCTGTAAACTCTGGTGTGTTCCCTAATCACCTGGATATTTACATGATTTCCGATTTGATTTCTATTATAATAACTGACCTAGATTCTGATCGAATACTTGACCTAGATTTTGATCTGATACTTGACCTGGATTATGTTTTGATTTTGGATATATCCGTTTACGGACAGAACATATTTTATTTGGGGATAATGTTGGAGGAAGTATACATGGAGGCTTCTCGGTTGTGTGCTCATGACCTTACTTACCGGCTCCTCGGCTGTGTGCTCAGGGCCATACTGTACTTGTCGGTGGGTGTATGGTTCTGGGGAACCGACACATTTTAGACTTGACGGATGGGGGTATATATATGTGTTTTAAAAAAGATATGAAAAGTTACATGATTTTTTGGGAACACACTAGAAAACCTATT